ATATATATATATATATATATATATATATATATATATATATATATATCAATCATCATACCTACTCACGAATACTGTATGTGCTTGGCTCGAATTCTCATCCAGGAATGATCTGAATCCGTCGTTGTCTGCGCTGGTGCTGACGTATGCACTGAGTGTTGTCTCTGTCATGAATTGGGCCGTGCGGATGGCCACGGAAACGGAAACCAAAATGACTTCAGTAGAAAGAGTGATGGAGTACTCCACCCTGGACGATGCAGAGGCGAGCGACCAATCAGATGTATGTTACTCTTGTGTTGTGGTGTGTTGTGGTGCAGATGTATGTAACTCCTGTGCTAGTGTTGCGTTGTGATGCAGATGTATGTTACACCTGTGTTGCGATGTGTTGTGGTGCAGATGTATGTTACGTCTTTGTTGTGTTGTTTGCACAACAAGCAAACAAATAAACGCTACTCTACTTTGGTCTATCTCAGTCCCCTGCGCAATGCATTCGTCTGGGAGGTCTGTGTTTTGTGTTGCTAGGCAGGTGAATGGTACGTGTCATGTGTGTCATGTGCATGCACGTGTCATGTGTGTCATGGGTGTTCACGTGTCATGAGTGTCATGTGCGTGCACGTGTCATGTGTGTCATGTGCGTGCACGTGTCATGTGTACCATGTGCGTGCACGTGTCATGCGTGTTACGCGTCATGTGTGTCAAGTACGTACACGTGTCATGTGCGTTCACGTGTCAGGTGTGTCATGTGCGTACACGTGTCATGTGTGTCATGTACGTGCACGTGCCATGTGTGACATGTACGTGCACGTGTCAGGTGTGTCATGTGCGTGCACGTGTAATGTGCGTGCACGTGTAATGTGCGTGCACGTGTAATGTGCGTGCACGCGTAATGTGCGTGCACGTGTAATGTGCGTGCACGTGTAATGTGCGTGCACGTGTAATGTGCGTGCACGTGTAATGTGCGTGCACGTGTAATGTGCGTGCACGTGTAATGTGCGTGCACGTGTAATGTGCGTGCACGTGTAATGTGCGTATCTAAGCACATGCCTGTGCCGAGAGCGCACCACCGGATTTCTTGATCAATACTCTCTGTCCATGAGTTGTGTTGGTGTCTATATGGTCACCCTGGACGTGGTACCACAGCCTGTCTGCTTTGGGTGGGATTTGTACTTTGCTCTAATGATTTTTGCCGTGATGTAGTCCAATGGGCTCGCCTGTATTGAGGTTTGCCGTATTGTGGCGTATAGTCGGCTGCTGCTGTACTGATATGCGCAAGCTCTTTGACTCAGTGCGGCAGGAGGCGTAGTGCGACTCCCTTATGCCCTGCATAGTGTGTGTAGGTGAAGTGTGAAGTGCTGGGGTTGACTTAGGCCAGTTGAGCTGTGCATGTACTTTGATACTGCCCACTCATCTCTGTATGGGTTTATATATGTCTACCTACTCCTGGGATGCCCACTTATCTCTGTATGGTTTTATATATATCTACCTACTCCTAGGATGCCGCGAAACCACCCGCGGATTGGCCCTCCAGCGGCAGCTTCACAATGAACAACCTGTGCATGCGATACGCCGACGACCTGCCGTTGGCTCTGGACGATGTGACCATCAACGTACCTGCGGGTGGGTTGCATACACTCACACTGCTATATCCATGCGCATTCCGTGTGCTATTACATATAAAGCCTGAGTTGGTAGTGTGACTTGCTTGTCCTGACATGGCCTGATTGTGGAGGGGTTTCGGATTGTATTTTTTTAGGCACCAGACGAGCCATGTGCCGCCTGAGAGCATGTGTAAAATCGATTGAAATGTTTATAATACAGCCCGCTTGTATTTTATGTATATACTTCGTCCCCCATCTTCACGTGGTATATATGCACAGTCGTACACCAGCTCTCCACCCTACCCAGTGCACTGTTATTATATATATACAACGTCGCATTTAAATGCTCTGCAGGGAAAGTGGTGTCTATCCATCGTATCATGTTCAATATATATATATATATGTGTGTGTGTGTGTGTGTGTGTGTGTGTGTGTGTATATATATATATATATGTGTGTGTGTGTGTGTGTGTGT